TACCGACCTACGACTACTACTACTACTACTACTACTACTACTACTACTACTACTACTACTACTACTACTACTACTACTACTACTACCGACGAGCGCACTTCGGGTTATTCCTTATGTCAACATACGATTTATACCTGGTAAGAGCATATACAGATTTTATACCTAACCACCAGTAACCATTATCGCAGCAACAAGCAGAGCTAGCCTCCCTAATCCTCACAGATACCCACTTCAACACCAGTCGTACCTTGATTGTCTTTGCTGACCGAGACGGGCGGCTTAACTGAGCAAATTTTCGTAGCTTGGAATGGTCTACCTATCTGCTGATCGGTTCGCGGTCAGATTATCACTCGACAGTAACCTTCCCCACAGTTTCAGCCCGGGTTCCTGCAGTTATCTCCACCTCAGAGAAGTCGAAGGAGTGATTTCGCTGCACACTGCAAGGAACCATGAGAAATAATCAAACTTCCTGCCGAATGGAGACATTTTGTGATCGCGAAACATGGTCTCCAATCATCGACCTTTGTTGTTGTAGAAGGTTTCAGCGCATTATATTTGACCGCCCACGGTCTGGAAAACTAACTCCACTCTCGATTTTATCGGCGCAAAAATAATTGCACAAGACGTGGTCGAAACGTCGGCCATGAACTGATTAACAGATCTGTCCACTCCTCCCGTCTGCCAAGTCCTAATGACACAAGCTAAAGGACACAAGCTAGTCCCCCGACTCACGCCCAGAGCAAAGGCCAGCGTAGATACTCACAAGAATACTGAGAAGAATTCGATTGGTCCAATGTCTCACCTAGATTTTTTATTACGACGCCCTTCTCATGTCTCCGATTGTGGACTCTAGTGCGAGCTCGAAGGCCCAGAACATGAAATACTTTCCCCAAGGCTTGATTCCTACTCGTTTTTGTCTTATCGGCTGCACAGGTAGTGTCTTCTTCCGTAGGCTTTAGAAAGTCAGGGCTTCTGAGAATAAAAGGATCTTTACACAGTATAGTATAATTAGGCAGTTACTTAGTACTGATACGACGAGTAGAGCATTCACAAAAAGGTACCAGGCATCCTCGCCTTATTAGCCTGTATTGTCCGTCCATATCCCCCATAAGCCGTTAAAAGTGTTTTTTCCCAGAATCCCTTATTAGTTTCCGATAACTCCAGGCGTTCATGCATTTTCTGACGATATTATGAATGCTGTCAATCTTCGAGCTAAGATCCTTTCAGGATAATCCAGGCACCCTAGTTTATCTTGTTTACTCGCCTACCGGCCTTGTAGCAAATTCATATAAGATTACTTCAGAAAATTCCCGCGAAAATACACCCTTAGAAAGGTAATAAAGGCTTCAAGGGGCAGTTGGAGCTAGTCATACTCCAAAATGTTAATCGAAAAAGCCTCGAATTTCAAATCGGATAGAGTTGGACGCTGCATATCAAGGTCCTATCAAATGAGCCGCTGACCCATGGTCTGTTAGCTTCCATCAGTAATGGTGGAAGCCAACGGGAAGTTGCCACCTTAGCTAGCACCCAGAAAGAGGAAGGAGATGGGACTCTCCGTCCGGCCTGGTCTTGAACCCTCCTCGGCGAACAAATGCCAACAACAAGCAAAGCGACGAGAAGGGATATAAGGTGCTTTGAAATTCAACTATGACAGTTCTGTAGTGGCGAGCGACGACGTCCACCGTGTGCCCCACGGAGTGAGCGCAGCACCGGTGGCTTAAGGGCAAATTAGCTCAAAGTGAAATAGACTTGTGAAGCACCTACCTCACTCTCGCCCGCCCACTCACCAGGCACCGAATGATAAGACAGCGCAAAGGCGATCGGATGTTGGTCTGGGCGCAATAGCCGGCAGAGCTAAACAGCCCATGAAC